TTTGGTCATCTGGGAATATACCCAACAAAGGAATTGCAGGGTCAAATGGCAGGTCTATTTTTAGTTCTCTAAGTGTTCTCCAGACGTTTTTCCAAAAGGAATGTATTAGTTTACACTCCCACCAGCAGTGTAGGAGTGTTCCCTTTTCTCCACATCCACGCCAGCATCTCTGGTTGCAGAGGGGAATCTTTAGGGAGAGTCTTGGCTCTGGCTGCCCTGTGATGCAGGCCGCCCAGCCCCCGGGGGAACTAGGAGTGAGTCATTGGGCTCTCATGGAAACAACATTGGGCTGGCTGTTCTGGCTGTCTATGGCTTTCCGAAGCCTTCCAGAAGGCTGTGGAAGGCACAGTGGAACTGGGAGTAGGTGAGCAACTCCAGGAAGGGCTTCCCCCCTAACAGAACAGTGTGCCCTACATAGCCTCTACCTCAATCTCCCAGGGGTCAGGGGAGCAAACTCAGGGTAGGTGGTCATAGATTGGTAAATATCTGAGCTGGTCTTGCTGGGTGCAGTGGCTCATGCCTGTAATCCTAGCACTCTGGGAGGCCGAGGCAGGTGGATGGCTTGAGTTCAGGAGTTCAAGACCAGCCTGAACAAGAGTGAGACCCCATCTCTAAAAGTAGCCAGGCATTGTGGTGGGCACCTGTAGTCCCAGCTACTGTTGAGGCTCAGGGAAGAGGATCTCTTGAGCCCAAGAGTTTGAGGTGAGCTATGATGCCATGGTACTCTAGTCAGGGCAACAGAGTGAGACTCTGTCTCCAAAAACCAACCAACCAAACAATCAAACAAAAAACCCTGTTCAGCATTGGTAGCTCAACGGCTAGGGTGTCAGCCACATACACTGGGGCTGGCGGGTTCGAACCCAGCCCAGGCCTGCTAAACAACAACAACAACAAAAAATAGCCGGGCATTGTGATGGGTGCCTGTAGTTCCAGCTACTTGGGAGGCTGAGGCAAGAGAATCGCTTAAGCCCAAGAGTTTGAGGTTGCTGTGAGCTGTGACACCACGGCCCTCTACCAAGGGGAACATAGTGAGACTGTCTCAAAAAACAAACAAACATACAACCCCCCACCTCCAACCTGAGGTGGGCAGCTCTCAAGAGACCATCTGGTTTAGGCCCCTGACAACTCTGGGAGATGAGATTAACACCACTTTATAGGTGAGGAGCTGAGGGCCAGGGAGGTTACATGGCACAGCCAGGATTGCATAGCAAGTAAGAGGTAGAGATAATCCCACAAGTTTTTGCTTCAGTTTGGGGCAAGTAGCATGGTGAGGGGAGTGATGAGGTGATTGTGGGGTCCACTCAGACCCACCCCTCTTTGCTAATACAGACTTCTCCAAGGGTCTGAGGGCAAAGGAGCATGGGGGCAAGGGTCTCCTTGGGCAGCAGCACGGGGGGGGAGGCCTCAACTCATGAGTGGGGCAGACTGACACTGAGCCATTTCTGGGTGCTAGGGGCAAGAAGAGGTGGTAGAGCTAGAGAGTCTTCAGGGAGCCCTTTGGGGTGCAGGTGGTTGGGTGGGATGCTCCCTCCCTGAGGAGTTTGCAGTGATGTTGGGGAAATGAGACCTCTGCTCAGCAAAATAACAATGGAGACAGTTGTGACATAAATTAAGAGAGACTGGTGTGGTCAGGGAGAGCTGCACAGAGAAGGTGGCTTGTGAGGCCTGGAACCTGGTGGAGACTAAGATTGGTCTGGGAACAGTCGTTGGGAAACATCAAGGGCAGAGGTGAGTTGCACCCTTATTCTGTGACGGTGATGATGGCCAGTTCCCTGGAGCAGGCAATAGCCACCATCGTGGACACCTTCCAGAAATATTCAGTACACTTGGGGACAAGCACAAGCTGTGCCAGGCAGAGCTCAAGGAGCTGCTGCAGAAGGAGATGCCCACCTGGACCCCAGTGAGCACCGGGGAGCCCCTGGGAGGTGCTGCTTGACTCAGCAAAGAGAGACCTGGGGACAGGCATAGGCATGGGACAGCAAGGGATAGTGGTGGTGGTGGCAGGGAGGCTGCCCTGTGTGAGGGGGCAAGAAGAAGAGAACTGACATGGTAGGAGCCTCAGTTTTCTTACTCGTAAAGTGGGTGGCCCACTACCTCGAGCCATGAAGAATGCCTACCGCACAGTGGCACTCAGTGCAAATCACAGGTCCTTAATAAGGATCTGAGGAGGATCTGGGAGAGGGATTGAAATGGGTACATTATTCGGACAGGTGGGATGTGAGTTGAGGTGGGGCATGGCCCCCCTGCTGCCTATTTGTGTGGATGGGAGGCGAGGAATCTGCTCAGTGGACCCCAGGCTCAGCAGAGTGTGCACCACTCCTATCCTGTGAGACCAGTGTAGGACGGGGCTTGGGGAAGGTGAGGCGGTGCCCAGACTGCTCTACCTTCGCCACCCTGCCTTTCTACTCCCCACCCTGCCCTTGCATAGACTGAATTTTGGGAGTGTGACTACAACAGGTTCATGTGTATCTTGGACACCAATAAGGACTGCAAGGTGGACTTTGTGGAGTATGTGTGCTCGTTGGCCTGCCTTGTCTCTACTGCCACGAGTACTTCAAGGACTGTCCCCCAGAGCCTCCATGCTCCTAGTAGTCCCCACCCTGAGGTGGTGCTGGGCACGTCTCCCTCCCCTCCCTGCTGTACCCCTTTCAGTTAGGACTGGCTTGGGTCTCCTATCTGGTGCTCCATTTCCCCTGAGGCTCGGAGTGTGTGGGAGCTTCTCAGGATGTCCAGCTAGTGAGGGCTAGAGCAGTCCCAGCCCCTGCTGGGCCCCACTGCCTCTCTGTGTGGGTGGGACAGGTAGGATTTGCTCTGAGGCCAGGATTCTCAGCAGAGTGTGAGTCCACGATTGGAAAGTGCTTATTTAACTCCTAATAAAAGACTAATGTCAGCCTGGCTGGGTTAAATTCTTCTTAAAGGACACGCAGCCCTGCTGAGATCTTTGCTCCTCTCTGGTCTTTTCCACTGGAGGAAGGAGGCTCTGAGGACAGGAGCTGGGAGCTCCCCACGGGCTCTAAGAGCAGTTTTAGGCTCAGCGCCTATAGCTCAACCGGCTAAGGCACCAGCCACGTACACCTAAGGTGGCGGGTTCGAATCCCCAGCCCAGACCAGCCAAACAACAATGACGGCTGCAACCAAAAAATAAAAAAATAGCCGGGCGTTGTGGCGGGCGCCTGTGGTCCCAGCTACTTGGGAGGCGGAGGCAGGAGACTTGCTTGAGCCCAGGAGTTGGAGGTTGCTGTGAGCTGTAATGCCATGGCACTCTACCCAGGGGGAGAGCTTGAGGCTCTGTCTCCAAAAAAAAAAAAAGAGCAGTTTTAGACCCTGCAGAAATTCAGTGGTCTCAAGAGTCCCCAGAAGGGGCTGAGGCCAACACAGGGACACCCATCCTCCCATCCAGAGGAGGCTGGAGGGCCTATCTCTCATGCTCTAGGGTCTCTGAGCTGACCCCGTTAGGAGGCTGCCTTAGGTTCCTGGTGTGGGGAGGTGGGAGGGGGGATGAAACTCCGTCTTCTGAGAAGAGGGCAGGGTGTGGGGTGGGTGGGTGTTTGTTCCCTGCCCCAGGCAGTGGGAGCCCAGAGAGCAGCACTAATAGGATTAAGGTGTTTGAGGCACTCACTCCCAGCCAGAGAGGGCTTGCCCTGTGTGGAGGGAAAAGGCACTGCATCAAACAGCCCCTGACCCTGAAACTGTAGCCCACTGAGGGCCTTAGCCCCCTAGTTCTGGCTCTGCTCAGTCCCAATTACCCCACACTGAGAGATCCCCCCTGCTCCTGGTTCCCATCTCCACCCTGACCTGCCCCCCCTCCTTGATGTGCCTGGGAGCCCCCACACCTCACAGCCAGCCCCACTCCATCACTCTCTGGCCCAAGACCTATCCACTGACCTTCCTGAGGTGGTCAGAGAGCCTCCTCTTGACTGTCCAGCCTCACCAGGCCTTGCTCTTCGGGGTGGGGAAAGGCTGATGGAGCTGGTCCCCAGCATTGGGACTGTGCCTCCACCTGGGCAGCCACATTTCTAGGCTCTTTCCCACTTGTCACCCAACTCCTTACCGCTTGTGTCACAGCTGCCTGGTGGGGCTATCGCCCTGCCCCAGGCACAGGCTGCCCCTTCCTCCAGCTCCCTAAAACTCAGGCTGATCTATGAACCCCGTGTGGTGCTCACCCCCTGAAGGTCCCCGCCTGTGCTCACTGGGGCTCACCCACTCCCCATCTGTCCTAGAGGGGGACAGGAAGCCCTGTCCCCAGGCAGAGCTATTGGAGGGGGCTGAGGCACTACCAACATGAGTCCACAGAGGAGGGCAGTCCACTCTCTCCCACCCCTGTCAGGGGCAGGGCCTGGCTAGGGTATAAATAGGGCAGACTGCTGGGCTGTCCCCAAGCTTCCTCTCCCCAAACCCTCTCCTCGGCATTTCCTCTCTCTCTCAGCCTGGTGAGTGGCATTAGCCTGACTGGCACCCAAGGGGTGTGGGTGGCCAAGGCTGGGGCAGGAGAAGGGGTGGCTGGTGGGGGCCAGATACGGTTAGTGGACCCTCATGTGAGCTTGTGATAATGGAGGCTCTGGGCCAGTGTGAATAAATGTATGCATGGATGCGTGCATGGGAGGAAGCGGATAGGAGAGTGAGCACGGGGCTGAACTTGAGCTCTCAGCACTTCTGAGAAGCAGGGCTGGCATGTGCTGCCCTGTGTGTTGTGTGCTGGGCCCCTCGGGGATGTTTACTGGCTTGTACAAGTCTGTGTGCACTTTTGAGCACAAGAAGCAAAGCAAAGGCAGAGGCACCTGTGGGCTTCTGTGCGGTAGTGCCCTGTGCCCAGCAGTCCAGCCCAAGAGGCCTTGGCATCCCTGTCTTCCTTCTGTATTCCTGCCTCTGCCACCTCCCCTGCCCCTCCCTATACCAGGCACTAGGCGGCTGTTTTTTTCCGCTCTGGGCTCCTTGGGCAGGCTGCCAGCAGCCGCACCCAGACCCAGATGGAGAAGAATGGGCGGGTGGGGCAGCTGCAGCTGAGCTGAGGGTACTTGGGCTGAGCCAGCAGCAGAAAAAGTGCCCAGTGCTGAGGGAGGCCTGAGCCACAGAGCCTGTGCCCAGCCTATGCCAGAAGCAAACATGTGTCTCTCACTGTGCATGCAGCTGAGCCGATGTTGTGTCCCCCAAGGATGGGAGCAGAATTTCGCCAAACAGTCCTTGAGGGGAGGAGTGTAGTGGGGCATTTGAGTGCACCCACCACTCAGGGGTAGGTAAAGGCTGTCTCTGCCTCCTGCCCCCAGATCCTGACTGCTGCCATGTCGTACCCCTTGGAGAAGGCCCTGGATGCGATGGTGTTCACCTTCCACAAGTACTCGGGCAAAGAGGGCGACAAGTACAAGCTCAACAAATCGGAGCTAAAGGAGCTGCTAACTCGGGAGCTGCCCAGCTTCCTGGGGGTAAGGGGCATTGCCTGGGGTGTGCCATGAAGGCATGTCCCAGAGAGGAGTGCCAGACCCTGGGGGCAGCAGTCTGAGCAGAGCAACCATTGCTGAGGTGGGGACAGGGCAGAGCACTTGCTCTGGCTGCCTGGGGTGGAAAAACAGTGACCAGCACCACTTTCAGCCTTCTGCAGAAAAAAGGCTGAGGATGGGCAGATAGGTTAGGTTCAGACACTGCCAAGTGCTTTGCTCAGGGAACTAAGCAACTTCCCAGGGTGGTGCATGAAACGATGATCTGCTCCAGGATGGTCTGACTTTGGCCATCACTCCAACAACAGGTGATGTCTAAATTTCTACTGGCTTGTGGGTGTGCAAACACAGATATGGAGATACTCACACCCCCACAGACTTTCTTCCTGTTAAGATTTCTACATTGCGGGTGGCGCCTGTGGCTCAGTGGGTAGGGACCTGACCCCATATACCAAGGGTGGCGGGTTTGAACCTGGCATGGCCAAACTGCAACAAAAAATAGCCAGGCATAGTGGAGGGTGCCTGTAGTCCCAGCTACTTGGGAGGCTGAGGCAAGAGAATTGCCTAAGCTGAGGAGTTGGAGGTTGCTGTGAGCTGTGATGCCATGGTACTCTACTGAGGGTGATAAAGTGAGACTCTGTCCCCCCCCCCAAAAAAAGATTTCTATATTGCTTTCATGACCATTATCTAATCTATTAGAACAACCCTAACCCCAGTCAAGGCTTAGACTTCTAAGGAACACCCTCTCTGCCCTGGCTTAGCAGGGAGGGCTGGAGCTCCAAACCTGGGCCTTCCCAGCAGAGGCCCTGAGCAGAAACTTGATCTAGTCACGGCTCTATCCCAGGCATCTGTTCTCTATCTGTAGTCTCTTCTCCTTCCAGAAAAGGACAGATGAAGCTGCGTTCCAGAAGCTGATGAGCAACTTGGACAGCAATAGGGACAACGAGGTGGACTTCCAGGAGTACTGCGTCTTTCTATCCTGCATTGCCATGATGTGTAATGAGTTCTTCGAAGGTTTCCCAGATAAGGAGCCCCGAAAGAAATGAAGGCTCCTCCCATGGCAGGGGGTGTCTGCCAGCTGGGGTCTGCTCCTGCAGACACATGTGGCATGTTGAGCAAGCACAATAAAGATTCTTAGAAGCTCCGAGGCTGGTGGTCTGAGGCACTCAGGTCCTGGGTTGGGGGCTGGTTGTGGTGGTGGTGGGGTGTGTGGGGCTGAAGCAGTTTACAGGAAAGCAGACTAGTGAAGGGTGGACAGAGATGTGGGGTGATCTGGGAGCAGTGTGTGCACCCACCAGGCAGAGTTGACTGGTGGGACCAAAGGCAGGGAAGGGTCTACCCAGCCCACTCTTACCCCCTCACTGTAACCTTGCCTCTGTCAGGACCTTGAATGGAGGCTGGGGAGGAATTGAAGGTCACATCTGCCCTTGTCTGGGATCTGGAGTGGAGTCTGGGTGTCCTGGGAGCATGTTGGAGGGCTGGCTGGCACTGGCTTCAAGCTACTGAGGATTAACCCTCTCCTGTCCTTGTCTGCATCAGGGAGGGTGATCTGCAGGGGAACAGGCTTGTGGCAGCATGAGAATGCAGTCATACTCTGCCTTGTCTCTGTTACTAGGGTCTAGGCCAGGCTGTACTTATTTGGGAATCATGGTCCTTCAGAAGGACCAGTGACTGTAGAGGGATGAGTGGGGCACAGTGGCTGGTGAGGGGACTGAGCTGTGTGGTGGGTTCTGGCCATAGTTTTGGAGACAAAGTTCCAGACACATGATCTCAGGAAGGAAACTAAAGTGCTTCCCTGTAGGGCAGATTAGAGGTGAGGGGCTCAGAGTGCAGTGGGGTGGTTGAGGTTACATTTCAAGGCCATGACTGGTGTCACAGGATCTTTGAGGACGAGGTGTGGAGAGGGCAGGGCCAGATGCTTGAGGACTTGGTGGCCCAGACCTCTTAGGCTTCCCGTTACCTCTGCTGGCACTGGCTTCCTCTCAGGTTTTGGAGGAGGGGGCAGGAACTGGATGTTCCTTCAGGATCTGACCATGGAGACTCTGTCCAGTTTTGGTTTAGGACCAAGTTGGCCTCCCTACCCCGTCACCTTCTCTGGCAGGCCCCCTGAGCATCACTCTCCACTTTGGAAACTCCTGCTGCTTAGCAGCCAGGGCCTGCCAGTGGGGGTGGGGGTGAGTGGGGGCAGTAGGAGGACAGTGCGGGGTGGACGGGGTGTGCAGTGGTGGGCCCTAAAGGCCTGACTCAGTTCTGCCTTCACACTCAGCTGGCTGGTGGGAGAACAACTCTTGAGCACGTCCTAGGACACAGGCAACTCCCTGTCCCCACCCTACCCATGACTGCACCCTAACCTGGACCCTGCCCAGTCCTCATCCTCCACCCCATCACTGGGCCTTGTCCCTCCCCTGGGCCCTTTTCAGTCCCTCACTCAGTCTTCTATGCCAAGAGTATCTCACAAGTCCTTCCCCTGAGGGCCCGTGAGGCTCAAAAGCCCCTTTAAAGCCTTCAGTTCCAGACAAGCTGATGACTTTGCCCATGCCTTCGGCAGGGAATATCTCCCCTGTGGATTCTCATCTCAGGGTGTATCTTCTTTTCTCTTACAGTGGGTCACAGGATGGGTGGGAGGGTCCCCATGTGGTGGGTGGTCTAGACTTGGGGAGATGCCCTGGGCTGTGGCCACACCTCCCAGGTTTCTCTCTAGGACAGTCTGATGCCCCTCCCCCCCAATGCCTATTATTCATTGGATTCAGACGGTGAGTTTTGATTTTTGGTTGGAAGATGAGGCTTTTGGGACTGAGGACATGTGCCATGGTGAGCTCAGTGCGTCCCCAGCCTTGTGTGTAAACAAGGACTGTGAAGTAGGTGGGGAGGGTTCTCTCCAGCTTCACCCCAGGAGGCTCTGACCTGGGCCTCTCATGTCCCTGACCCTTTCTCATTGGTCCTGCCTGTCTCTGGGTTTCCTGGGGACTGGGAGTGAGGGAACAAAGGCTGAGAGCAGAGGGAGAGAGGCTGTGTCTGTTGCCTGGGTTCTCTGCTCTTGCTTCTGCTGTGGTGAGTCCTTCCTTCTTTTTTTTTTGAGACAGGAGCCTCAAGCTGTCCCCTGGGTAGAGTGCCATGGCATCTCAGCTCACAGCAACCTCCCACTCCTGGGCTCAAGTGAGTCTCCTGCCTCAGCCTCCCAAGTAGCTGGGACCACAGGCATCTGCCATAACGCCTGGCTATTTTTTGGTTGCAGACGTCATTGTTGTTTGGCAGGCCCCGGGCTGGATTCGAACCCGCCACCTTAGGTGTATGTGGCTGGCACCTTAGCCACTTGAGCCACAGGCGCCAAGCCGTGAGTCCTTCCTTCTTAGCTCCTGTTCATCTACCTGGTGAGCCACCTTAGGTGATGGGGGTGACAAGTGGTGGTGACCCCCACCAAAAAAGGGGCTGCCCCCCCCAAGCAGGCATGTGCTCAGTGTAGGGGGCGGGGAATAGAGTGTTTGGAATTGTGGCCATCAGAGTTTCTTGAGAAATGGCTCTGGGGTGGAGGTAGGGGTCAGCAGGATGCCCCTGCAGACGCCCTAAGGCTGCTGACTTCCACTGTGGGGCTGGCTGAGTCCCTCTGAGGTGGGTTTTTAGGTGGTAGGAAGTGAATGACAGATCCAGTTTAAGAATAGCAGGGAGGGCTTTGGGTTAGACAGGAGGACTCTTGGCAGGATTTACCTGCAGCCTGTGGGTGTGGCATCCTTCCTTCTCAAGGAGGAAGTGGTTTCCAAGTCTGAGTCACTGAGCTCCAGCTGCCTCTTCCCTTGGGTGGAGGTAGCTGTGCTGAAGAAATGGAGAACCCCCTTCAAGCCCACCCCCTGTGCTCAGGTCTTAAAAATAGTCCCGGAGATTCCAGTAGGTCCTGCCCCCCCCCCCCCCCCCCCCCCCCCGGCAGTCTGTGTGTTCTTTGGGCTGCAGGCCCATCACCTCTCTGCTGCTTCCTGCTAAGACCTTACTGCCCAATTCTAACCCTAGCCCCCTCTGGCCCCTGGACTCTGCCTTTGCTCTGTCCCCCACTCTAATAATAGGACACTACTTTATATCAGGTGATTCAGGAACTGGGGCAAAGGGAGGTGCCTAAGTGGGAACTGCCTCTGGACTGGAAAACTAGTGCCCACACTGGAAGGGGCAGAGAAAAAATCCTGAGCCTTTATCTGCTCTACCACCCGCCAGTTCTTTTGTCATGCTCTGCCCAGGTCCTTGTCAACATCTTCTAGGCAGGATAGTCTGCAGTCCCCTTGGGTGGCTGTTTTCCTGTCCTGGCTGCTCCAGAGTTGCCTCTGGTCTCATCACCCTCCCCTCCCGCCCCTTCCGTGTCTACCTGGGTCATATGTTTGGTGGGCTTCTGTCTCAGCATGGGTTCCACTCTCTGGTCCTTTGAGGGAGGAGCCTTGGGATTGGGCTGGTGGTAGTGGAGGTGGCGATAGAAGGTCTGGCTTCCTAAACAGAGGGATCTTCCCTCTGTTCCCCTGCAGAGCTGCACACGGTGATGGAGACTCCTCTTGAGAAGGCCCTGACCACTATGGTCACCACTTTCCACAAGTATTCGGGGAGAGAGGGCAGTAAGCTGACCCTGAGTAAGAAGGAGCTTAAGGAGCTGATCATGAAGGAGCTGTGTCTTGGGGAGGTAGGTGGCAGTTCCCTCCCTCTCCCTTCAAAGTCTGAGTGTTCCTTGCAGCGGGGTCACACTTGCTTTTGGGGTACTCTGGCCTAAGCCAGGGCAGGGTGGCCCAAGGGTATGGACTGAGACAGAAGGAAGGAGGTGGACATCTTGGACCAACAGAACTCTAGAACTCTGTGCTAGGGGATGAGGTGGGGTCTCACTAGGAAAGAGGAAGGGCTAAGTCTGGAGGGGGACAGCAGCTCATCTGAGGGCTCAGAAGGATGTGGGGCCAGACTCTCAGCTGTGAGTGGTGAAGGTGTCCAGGTGTCCAGGTTGAGCTGTGCACAACTCAGGCAAATGAAACTCAACTAGTCCCTAAAATGGGGACAGAGTAGGCCACGTAACAACCAGGCTGTTTTAATTAGGTGTTGGTATACAATCTAGGTATTATTTTTGGGGTGGGGAGAGTGTTGAGGAGCAGAAAGGCTGGACTAGCGTTCCTACTGTAACTTATTTAGATTCAGGAGTCAGGTTGCTGAGCCCCTACCTGGTGCTGAGCCCCTACCTGGTGCTAAGCCCTTCACTAAGTGTGGAGGGGGCTAGGCTCTGGGGTACTGATACTCAGAGTCCTGATTCAGCGGGGGTCACCCCTAGGCTGGAGGTGTGTGTGTGTGTGCACCCTGCGGTGAGGTCAAGGCTAGCAGAGTCCCCAAGCTGTCCCTCAGGTGGGCTTTTGCAGAAAATGAAGGAGAGCAGCATTGATGACCTGATGAAGAGCCTGGACAGAAACAGTGACCAGGAGATCGACTTCAAGGAGTACTCGGTGTTCCTGACTACACTGTGCATGGCCTACAACGACTTCTTCCTGGGGGATAACAAATGACTAGGGGTCCCCACTGCCCTCATCACCAGCCCCTTGCCCCTGTCCTGTGCAGGGCCTCTGTCCCTCTCTTCCTCCAAGATGGACCCTTTCAACAGAGGAAATAAAGATTTTTCCATTCCTGGTGTTGGGAGGTTGGTTTTGAAGATGTCTTGCCCACCTTGGCTGGGGTGGGTTGAGATGGCCTCCAGGTTTTAGTGTCCCGGGCCCCTACCCCTGCCCCACTTTCTGTCCTTCAGTATAGATGTCTGTCACTGAGGTTGTCCTGGCTTAGTTTCTCCCTCCTGGAAAATGGGGAAACTCACCAGGATTCGGCTGCCTCCCAGGACCTCTGCCAGATGTGAGGAAAGCTAAAAGGGAAGTGCTTTGAGAGCAAGGATCCTGGGTGGGATTGGGGTGTGGTGGCTTCTGAGGGCAGTAATGTGTCCTAGCCCATAGGAGAGGCCTAACCCACAGGAGGCCATCCTGGCAGCAGCAGTAAGAAGGGGGAGTCTGCCTCCCTGCCTCGTTTACTCTCCTCCATTTCCCCCATCCTCTCTGGGGCCAATATTGTGTTCTCTTCCCAACTCCCTCTATCAAAATCTCTTCCCCGGGGGTGGATTTGAAACTGTCACCCAAGGGTAACAGGGCCTGGCCTGGGCGGGGAGGACAGGGAGGGTAGAATTCCAGGACCCCCACCTCCGTGAGGGTCTCACCCCTCCCCCACGTTGACACTGGCCCCGGGGAGCAGTTGAGGCCACACACACAAGCAGGCACACCGCAGAGAGGGAGGCGGAAGTGACTGCCGGCCCCTGCCTCCCCCCACACCGTGTCACACGTCAGCAAGAGCAACCTGAATTACGGAGATTGGAGGGCTTGCAGTGGGCTCTACTAGGTTGCCCCTTCCTGTGCTAACCCAGAGCGGCCCTGGGTTGGGACGGAGAGGAATGTCCAAAGGGGACCCGGGGTGTGTGCAGCGTAAGCGGGCGGGGCGGGGAGGGCGGGGCAGGCGGGGGGAGGGGTGCGGCGCTGGCTGTGGGGGGCCGGGCTCTCGACTCCCACTCGGCTGGCGAGTCTGCGACACAGTTCGTCTTCGCGCTTCACTTCTTCCCTTTTGGTGAGTTCTCAACAGGGCGTTCCTCAGGCTGGGTCTAGTTACCCGCTGCCGCAGGCTGGCGGCGGTGGGCTCCGCGGGCAGTAGTAGACATCAGAATCTGGACGGGCCCATTGTGAGCTCCCAGGGCTAGAGGGAGAGTCAGGAGCTGCGGGCTGTACCAGGCAGGCCCCAGCCTAAGGCATCTTCATAGGAGGCTCCCCTGAGCTCTTTTAGGGTGCGGGAGGGTGTGCTTTGGGTGTGTCATTGCTAGTGTGTTTGGCCCTGTGAGGCTGTGTGTGTGGCTTCTGTCCTTCCTTGGTCAGTCACACTCCCTAACTTCTCTGGAACCCTGGGAGGACAATTTTCAGCTGTGCCCAAAACTGCTATCCCTTAAACCACTTCTCCCTTGGCCCTACTTGCATCTCTCCCTCCCCTCCAGCCCTGGGCTGTCTCCTGAGGACATTGTGCATGGCTGGAGACTGTGGTTTTGGCAGGGAAGTCAAAAGGAGTGGGAGGTGGTGGTGACAGGGCTCCTGGGGGTGAGTGAGATGTCCTTGATACTGCCCAGGGCACTGACTAGCTCCTGTGCCTCCAGTCTAGTCCTCAGCCATGGCGAGCCCCCTGGATCAGGCCATTGGCCTCCTTGTGGGCATCTTCCACAAGTACTCCAGGAGAGAGGGTAACAAAGACACCCTGAGCAAGAAGGAGCTAAAGGAGTTGATCCAGAACGAGCTCACCGTTGGCCCGGTGAGTGGCCTGCTCTCTCGGCCCCTTTTCCTACCTCAAGCTGAGCAGGAGAGGGGTTTGCCAGGTGCCTCTGACATCCATTTATTCACTCTGAGGCATGGGGCACACAGTGGATGAAGCTGGTAGACCTGCTCCCTCCTGGAGTGGGGTGTTCTCTGCCTAGGGTCCACTGTCCCTGAAGTGAGGGACAGGAGCTGAGGAGAAGCAAGCCCAGGTGGTCATGGGTCTTTTGTGACAAGTAAGAGGGCCACCTGGGCCCTGGAAGGGAGGGTCCAGGTTCTCATCACCACTGAGTCTAGATTACCCCTTGTAACATCAGATGCTGCAGGATGCTGAGATTGCACGCCTGATGGACGACCTGGACCGGAATGGAGACCAGGAGGTGAACTTCCAGGAGTATGTCTCCTTCCTGGGGGCCTTGACTCTGATCTACAATGAAGCCCTCAGGGGCTGAAAATAAATCAGGAAGGTGGAGACACCTTCTAGGGGCCTGCATCAAATTGAGGGATGAATAATTGTACAATAAATATTTTTTGGTCAAGTTGACCCTGTTTCCTGGCTTTCCAGGGCTTTCTGAGCCTCCGTCCAGTGCTGTACCAGCCATCAGATGTGCTTACAGCTCACCTCTGAGGCGCCTCACAGGCCAGTGGGCCCACTGGGCCACTGCCAGCTCTTCAGGTGCCTTTTGTGTGGATTAGAAACAACAGCCCCCTTGGCAGAATGACCTTAAGGGGTGGCTTATGTGGTCTCCAGTAGAGGATCCTGGGAGCCTGAAGATGGGACAATGACTACACCAAGCTGTGATGGAGTTTGGGGTCCCTAGAAGTTGGACAGAGACAGTCCTGGAAGATGTGCTTTACTCTGGGTGTGGTGAGGGGGGCCTGGGGTGGGGGTCAGTCCACTTTCTCACCACAGTGAAGGGGGCAGAGAAGGTTCACCCAAGGTGCCAGAGACTTGGTCCAGGGGGATTTCCTCAGACCAAGGAGGATAGTATATGACGTGGCTGCCCATGCTCCACCTGCAGGTGAGGCAGGCTGTCCATGAATTTAGGCATGGTGTCCTTTTTGGGAGGAGGTAGTGGCCAGAGGAGGTGGCAGCGGAATGAACACAGGAACCATGGGGTGCTCATGAATGAGCAAGGTGGGCGTCCCTGGAACTGGGCAAAAAAGCTTCAGGCCTTTCGGTTAATTTTGACCCAGGCTATCACTGCAGTTTCGACAGAATGAATCACCCAATTATTCAGAGCCTGGCCCTCAGCCTCCATAGTGATGACTAACTGCAGTACTGCCCCAGTGTTTTCAGGCAGGGGGGTTGGGGGAAAAGGGGTAAACTCTGTTTCAGGGTGATGGCCTTTAGGTCTAGTGCAATCTGTGAAAATTCCTCTCTAGGTCTTGAGGAAAAGATCTCAGCTTCAGATGCAGACCCTGTCTTTACTCCCCTCTTCTCACTCCTAGGGCAGGGGCAGGCAGCTTTGCGGAATGAAGTTGTCTTCTGTGGCCTTCAGGCAGGGACTGCTGAACGGCCAGGAGCCCTTCCTTCTCTAGCTGCCTCCTCTTCTCTGGAGGGAGAAGTCACACAGTTGGCAGCAGGAATGATCGGGGCCACTGTCCCCCTCTGCACAGCCCTGTCCAAGCCTTGGCTCAGTTCAGTTCGCTCTGGAAAAGTACCCTGACCCCACCCTTCGCCGCCGCCCGGCGGCCAACAGCTTCGGGCGCGCAACGAGCGCCCCCGTGTGGGAAGAGAGGGGCACTGCGGGGACAGGAGGCCGGGAGCTGGGACCGGCTGCGGTGGGGCTGGGGCCCCTCCGAGTGAAGAGAAAGGCAGGACTAGGGAGCCCAAGGAAAGTCAGGGTAGGGAAATCTTTTAACTCCTGGCAATCAACTCCGCTCAGTTTCATCTTACACACCCCACGAGTCAACAGGAAAAGGCTGTTTGCGAAGACAAATAGAACCTGAACCTCGCCCCTCCTCCACCTCCAGGGGCTTGAAGACCTTTCACAAATTAGTGCTGTTTTAGCAGAGGGAAGGAAGTTGTTCCTGCGCGCCTTGTAGACCCTCTGCGGCGGGGAGGTGCTGTTGTGGCAAGGCCATCAGCCGCACTTCTGGGGCGCTCTGGTGGGCGGGCAGGGTAGGGGTTGAGAAGACTCAGCAAAGGTGCACAGTCCCCCTGCCCAATAAGCAGGCCGTGGGGGAAGTGGGGATCAGGAACACGAATTTAATGAATAGCAAATCTTTGCTTGTTTGGGGGTACAGTTTTTATTTTTCTTTGAGACAGAGCCTCAAGCTGTCACCCTGGGTAGAGTGGGGTGGCATCACAGCTCACAGCAACCCCCAACTCCTGGGCTCAAGCGATTCTCTTGCCTCCGCCTCCCAAGTAGCTGGGACTACAGGTGCCCGCCACAA